CCTCCCCCCGCGATAGTTTCCCCACCTCCCTGCGAGCCCCAAATCATTGTTTACCCACGCTCTTAGTGAAATTGCCTCAGTTTCAAAAATCCTCTTGGTTGTGCTAGAGAATGTTGCCCCGATTCTGTATTCGGAAAAATGTGTCAAGAATGAACACTGAGCGGTCCGGTCTCGGGCCCAAAGCTGGACTTTTGCTCCCCAGCGTGTCCCGGGTGCGGTGAGAGGGTGTTATGTGTGGAGGCTGGAGTCTGGGAGCCACCGGAGCGGTAACTGCTCTTTCTCGGAGCCTCGATTTCTTCATTGTGAAATGAAGATCCTGATAGTCCCTGGGATGTTGTGGCTGGAAGTAAACGGCAACGATGTGAGCCTTATGCCTGCACATGAACCGGCAGACACTCAGTTCCTGGTGTTAAGTGTGCTGGTCAGATAGACATAGATAAGAAACTTGCTTAAGCCCCTTCTCCAAGTGATAACTGTGACACTCTCTAGTGGGTCTGGCCACAGAAGTGCCAGAAAGCCACTTCCACCGTCAGAATCCTGGTGCCGCCTTTCCTGACAGCATCTGAGCTACTTACTAGGTCTTGACTTCCCCAACTGCCTTCAGCCCCTTAAACATCACTAATGGGAGCCTGTGGGGTGGGGCGGGGAGGGCAGGGTGACAGGGTGTTGACTGGCATCTGTCAGATGGCGACCTGCCTTCCCCTCCTCCACCAGAAGGGCGCTCTTTTAGGGCATTGGCTAGTTGCTCATCGTGGAGTCCAAATACCTGGCAACATTCCTGATATATAATAGGAAGGCAGATGGATGGAGGTATCTGGAGCAGAGGCCATGTTGCTAATGTCCACATACCCCTCCCCAACTTTTGCCTTTCAGTCCCAAAATGGTATTTTAAAAAACCCTCTTCCAGCAAGAGGGTTGTGATGGTTTTATTTTTCAGGATTCCCCTATTTTTTATTTGTAGTGAGGTATAATTGATGTACAGTAAGTTGTGCATATTTAAAATACACACTTATGTTTTGACAAATGCATACACCTGTGAAAACAATACCATAATTATCTGTCCTTAATTAGCATCATTATGCAAATGGTGTTAGATGTAAACCTAGTTAATACAAATTCATCATGGAATATGAAAAAATGATAATAAAAATAAAAGTACTACATATTTCTACCATCCAGAGGTAACCATTGGCAGGATATTATTATAATTCTTTGTTTTTAAGATTTATTTATTTATACATACAGCACTGGGGTACAGGCCAGAGGTGCAGGAGCAATGAAAGTATTCAACAGAGGAAGAGCAGGCAGCGAGGAAGTACACTGCTGAGGGGAGCAGTGGGAGAGTCAGGAGGAGAGGTCTGCTGCACCATGTAGGTCACCTCCCTGGCCAGGATCGAACTCCAACTCACATTGAAGCGCCTGGAGCTAGCTTTATGGTGCTGGGCTTTAACCCGTTGGGCCAACAGGGAGGGCCAGGGTATTATTAGAATTCTAAACAGGAGTTTTTGTCTGCATTAATTTACAGAGAATTACACTGCATGTGAAAGTTTGCATGCCCCCACTTTTCATATTCCATAGGATTAGTAATTGTCTTTTTTCCAACATGAGATATTTAGTTTATTTACAGTTATTCTCAATTTTACATTAAAACATTGATAAATATCTTTGTTTCCAAATCCTTTTCAACATAGTTGATGATTTCCTTAAGACAAATCACCAGAAGTAGATTTAGGTCAAAGGGTATAAGCCAGTTTCTTTCTTTCTTTTTGTTCTTATCAAAATAGAAAAACCTTTACTTAAAAACTACTATCTATTTTTAGTAAATTAATTCAAATATACAGGTATAACAAACTAGGAAGCTATCTGTAATTCTCTCCTCTACCTAATATCCTATGAACCAAAGTTAAACTTATGAACATAAAGAGATTTTGTGGGTGAAAAAAAAAATTCTAAAGCTGGTTTGTAGTAATGATTTCACAACTGTATAAATTTATAAAAACCATTGGATTATACATTTATAACAGGTGAATTTTATGTTAATAAATTGTACCACAGTCAAGCATATACTTTTTTAATATAAAATGTTATCCATTATGGATCATGGCCATCTTTCCTCGCCAGTACAAATAAATCTATGTAGTCATTTTTAATAGGTGCATAGAGTCTTAGTGTATAGCTGTTTCATAATTTATTTAAGCATTTCTCTTCTGGTAGGTATTTAGGTGGTTTCCAGTTTTTTATCATTATAAACAATACTGCCATGAGTACCCATAGGCAAGCAACTTTTGTGTATTTGTGTGATTATATTTCCTTAAGATAAAATTCAAGAGTGGAATTGCTGAGTTAAAGGCCATATTAAAAATTGTTTTACCTGTATTGTCAAATTGGCTTCTGGGAAGATTGTATTAATTTATACTCCTAACAAGTTCCTCTTTTGCCACAGCTTCAATATCATCTAGGTATTATCCCATCTCTTTTATCTTTGCCAAGATGATAGCCCAAAATAACAACTCATTTACAAGTCTGTATTTATTGATGTAAGACCTTTTCATATGCATATTGTCCACTTTTATTTCTTATTTTGTGAATTGCCTTGTCATATCAGTGATATCAAATGATGTTAGGTTGTATAAGTGGGGTGGTTGAAACTAACATACTCTGATGGAATTATCATAGAATTAATAGTAGCTTATATTTTTTTTTCATGAAGTTATAGCAACATAAATTATTTAGTCATTCTGGGTGAGGTGTCATTTAGACAGATTCAGATTTTCCCAGTAATCACCATAATATCTAGATGTCTGTATCATATATAAATCATAGCTTGGCTTCCTTAAATATTTTAACCTTTGAATGTGAAATTTAACTTGACCACAATGGATATACAAAAAGTACAATCTTTTGGTTCCACTCACCTGAAAATAGTTCAAGAAATTCTCTCTAGCAGTTTGGGGAGGAAAGAGCTATTTTCACAACTTATCAGATAACTAGTGATAACTTCACTGATGGTAGTAATAAGAATACCATTAAAAAGTTTAAGTGGTGTTATTAGTGCTTACTACTCATTAATCCACACTAAGTTTATCTGCATCTCATTTAAAATTTAAAATACCATGAAGTTAATATTGTAATACTCCCCTTATAAGAAAAAGTGAGACTTAAATAACATGGTTATTAACTCACAGGTAATAATGGCAGATTTGAACTTGAATCTTGTTAAGTTAAATTCATCAGCATTTAAGAACTCCACTAAAACTATTTCCTTAGCTCCACTGAGCTTCTATCTCATAAGATTCTTTCCAATGCTATTTCTTTCTCCTTTCCTCCTTAACTTGAAACCATATTCTACCCATCATCTTCATTTTGTCAGTTCTAAAACATGCATGTGCATAAGCATGCATGCATGTGAGCAAGCATGCATGCATGTGAGCATATGTATGTGGGTATTGTATGCTAAGAAAGTGTCTGTGAACATATATACATGTATGTATGTATATGTTGTATGAATGTGTGTGTGAATATGTGTATAAGGGTATGTGTGGTATGTGTGTGTTTCATCCTCTGGGCTGAGTATTTTGAGGGCAGAGATCATTTTTTGATCATTGTTGAATTCACTACATCTAGCCTAATGTTTTTCCTATGTCCTAAATTTTTGTTTAATAATGAATGAAAATGAAAAGCATTAAACCTAATGAAAGCAAATTACATGCCAATTCCTTTTCCTTATTTTTAATTTTGACAGTAGGCTTACTGGAAAGTTCCTTAAATTCTACCATGCGTTAACATAGAAACAATAAATTTATTTTGTGTGTAAGTGTTCTGTGGCATAAATACATTTTTCTGTGTTGTGGAGTTATATTTTTTTGTGTGGAGTTATATTTTTAGGAAGGAATTTTTCAGGTATTTTAAGAAAGTAACCTGCAATTATGACAATTATTCTCCCAAAATAGGATTATGTATCACTCAGAAATTTCCATATCAGATTTTTTGGTCATTTTTTCCTATTTTAAAAGTAAACAAATCACCTGGTTTAAGCAATTTTTATTTCAAAAGCAGAATCTAAAATCATTTTCCCTTCGATTCCTCTCTCTGCATCATACAGAATTGTTGCGCACACTCCCACCCTCTTCTCATCCTGGTGACTTCTGCTAAAGTGAATCATAAGCACTTGGCAGTGTAATGACTACTCAAAATATTCAAATCTTGGGAAGTTAAAGATGAAAACCTGTATAGACATTTTTTAACAAATGGTATTCAAATTCCAGTTTAAAAATCTAGACACTGTAATCTCTTTTGAACTCAAAGGCTTCAATGGTCAATGTTGAATGTATTTCATTATGACAGTAGCTAAATGGGGGTAACTCAACTGCAGCATTACCAGCAACCAGTCCTTTGGGGGTGATAAGACCCTTTGTGCTATTGTATGTACTCTCACCTTCTCTGGATTACATTTCTTCAATAATGTTTTTTCATGCTGTGTTCCTTGGCATTATAGAGGCATCCCAGGGGCTACCAAGGGAATGGGACTAAGAGAGAAGGAAAGCCAGACACCTCCCTCTTGAAGAATGGTTCCACCTTTATCTTTAAGTCTTATGTGTTTCCAAATCAAATTTAATATGAGAAAAAAGCTTTTGTTTTATCAAGAGAAAATTCCTCTGAACCAAAAAGGGGGAAGTGCTGAATTTCAAGCTCTTCTTAGTCTGACCTTCCAGGCTTGT